CAGCCAGAAAGGCTTTGTGTGTACCTGAGTAAGTAAATTAACTGCAATTCTGTTTTGCAGTTGTCACGTAGGAGAAATTCTAAACATTGTCACCATCTCAGAATGTGGGGGGATTTTTTCCAGCAGGGATGCAACAGTGTGTGCTTAATTCTGCTCATTGCATCTTTTTTTTCCCCCATGTGTTATTTCAAGAATGTAGTCATGCTCCTGCTGCTTGGCTGCCCAAAGAACTGCAGGATTAATGCTCATATTAAGTCACGAGTTAATATTGTAAATATTATTCTTTCTTTATCCTCAAACAGTATCTCCTTAACTGGACAAAATTATAAGGGCAAGAGGGGAAATAATTTTAAAAGCTGGTGCAGTATTAAAGTAAGCTAATTTAAAAACAGCACTACCAAAAAAAAAAAAAAAATAACCAAGAGCCTCTCCCAAAACACCCCAAAGTGAAGTTTCCCAAAATGCTTTTGGCATGAAGCTAATTAAAATCCACAAAGAAAGTGTCATGAACAGTCACTGTGATAGAGCTCCCAGCTATTCTGAGGTTCTAAAGTTGACTCTGAATCTAAACATGAGTAACAGCCCCTTGTGTGTGACTGACATGTGCAGCTCTACAGCAGGCTCAGCTATTTCATGGAAATTACCTCTTACATTTAATAAGTCACACTTCTGAAATAGTTGGAATAATCACATTGTCTTTGCATAACAAGCATTTCACTACAAGACAGCTCTCTGGGGCATTTGGAGTATCTCTTTAGCTTTTTCAGAAGTTGTCCTGGTGTCCAGATGTGCTTTCCAAGACTGAAGGGTGTTCAGGTATTGCTTTCACAGGGTTCTTGAATTACCAGTCTCGACATTCAGATGCACTTTAATTGGTGTGTGATGACTCTCCTTAATCTGCTAATGCTTTTGTCTAATATAATTTTGATCTCTGACAAAATTTTAAAATAAAATTATACTATCTAATGCTGACTAAACAAAGCTAAAGGGATTTATTTTTTTAAATTTTATCTTTAATAATCAAATGTGGTCTTAATCTTTTAGCTACAACTGTAACACTTGCTAAGATCTAGTGTGTAGCTTTTGGAATCTTCCTTGCTTATTAAGTTGTGTTAAAGCAGCTTGATTGCATTACTGGCATCTGACCTATGCACCTTTTGGTTTGCTATTCAAAAGGTTTATTAAAATTGTTAAAATTACAGCAGAAGTGTAATGAGTTGTGAGGTGTGGGAGTTTTGGTTGGGTTTTTTTTTTTTGTTTGCCTGTTATTTTGGCTTCTCTTTTTTTTCTTTGTTGAAAAAGGAATGCTTCAGTGACATATAATGAGAAATTATTCTCAACAATGGTGTATTTAATCTCATATTTATAAGATATGCTTGCAAGGTGTTTTGCTGCCCTCTCTTGGTAGAGATTTTGCATTGTAAGCTAAGTGCTTAACTTTGTTCCTGGCAAAAAATTCTGGGCTTATTCCTTTTATTTTCTGAAGAAATGGGGAATGGGGATTCTTTTCCAAAAAAAAAAAATAGTTAAATACTGCCTTACTCAATATTTACTAAATTATGAGTACTTTGTTATTCAGGTGGATAAAAGTGGTTATTTCACTGTCTTTTATCTTATTTGGCCAATATAATTTGATAGTGTTCGTTGCCAGTTGAAATAATTTTTGCTTCAGACTAAATTTAAACACTTAGATGCATTTTGCTATTACACAAACCCTTGTGGGCCAGGCCAAACACCTGGAATGCTTCCCTCTGCTGCTCTCCATCCTCTGGGTATCCCTTGGTTCAACAGCTTCTGCATGATGGAGTTGCTATTTTCTCAATAATTTCCCATGGTTCTTGGTGGGTTTTTCCCCCTCTGTGGGCTTTTTCCTGCTTTTTGTTTGAATCACTCTGGCAAGGAGTTCCATAGCTCATCTCCCTGATGGGCAGGGCTGCTCTTTTTTTTGAGCTTTGCTCTCATTATTTCATTGACTCTTTACTCCCAGCTGTTGTGAAGTGGTGTCTCCATCACTCAGGATTTCATACAGCTCCTGTTGTCTTTCCCAGAATGCAGAATTACAGCTTTCTAAATTTTTTTTTTAGTTGGAAGGTGTTGAGTACATTTGATAACAGTTTTCTGCTGCTCTTAAAATCTTTTCAGCTCTGATTTTCTCCCTGTTTTGAGGTGGGAACAGGGATGCAGGGATTGTGAGGCAGGGTGGTGCTATTTCTGAACTGTCCATAATCCTTTCTTCATGTTTAGTGTCTGGTTAGGGTTTTTAAACAGGACACATCAATGAAGGGATGTTGTTGTAACCCTTAGATCTCGCTCCTGGGTCCATAGGCAACTCAAAGTCCAGCACTTTGTAAATTCATTTAGCAGATATTTCCCTCTCTCTGCTCTGCTTCACTTCAGTGAAGGCTTATTTGCCAATTTTATTCCCAGGTTAGTTGGAATTAGAAGATCAGTAGTTCTTTATAATCAGCCATCATCTTTGCTGCCCTAAATAACTAAATATTATTAAGGAGCTTTATGACAAGCACCTCACTTTTCCAAGTTGTTTATGGAAATATGAAATTATGGCAGAGCCCTTGGTATGGCTTATTGCAAAACAGCCTTGGCAATGCTGCCCTTGTGTGAGGAGTGACCTATACTGAGCTTCTATTTATGTAAAGAAATGAAGAACTTAAGAAAAATAAATTTTCTGGCAGTAGCTTGATGTGTTGTTAAACCCAGGGAATTGATACCTTCCAGTATTATAAACTAAATATAACCTGAAATGTTTATGATCTCAAATGTCATATCTACATTTTAGGTTTGGGATGAACAAAGTGTACATTTCTAGGTGGAATATGCTCATTTCTGGCAAATGGATGCAAAAGAATGATGGAAATAAACAAAGCTGCTTTGGAATCTGTCAGTGTTGTCTTCTGCTCTGAACAGTCTTTTAGATAAAAACATGTGCATCCACCATTTTTTCCATTTCCTTTATGGAAAAAAAAAAAGAATTTTAACATGACCAAGCTGAAGTTAGCCTTGATGAAAACCCTGTTTTCCTCTAATAATAGGTTTTATCTGAGGAGAAAAAGGAGCACATAGTCAAATCAGTTTTGTACAGAACAAGCAAAAGTGTAACATCAAAAATATTTTTAATACCTCTTGGAGGTATTAAATTAATATTTCTGTGGTTTGTATTATATTCATTATAATATATTGTATTATATTAACATTTCTAAAACTCCTCTACTGGCTCAAAATCTGTATGGGTCAATCACCAGACTTTTTAGTGGACTTGAGATGCTAAAAATCAGTCATTTAACAAAAGCTGGGTTGCAGCTCTGGTTTCATATTGACTGTTCTTACATCTTTGGTTTGTGGCTGAGGGAGGAAATGGTCAAGGAGCAGAACTGGTTTTTTGCTTCTGATGGGTAATGAGTTAAGTAGTGAAAAAAGTCCTTTTGTTGTGCACAACAGGAACTTACTTGGTTATAGAAATAATAAAATTTCAAAATTTGTAATTTTTTTTGTTTGTAATGGAAAAACAATGGTCCGAAGATGGAATGGATTTCAATTACAATAGTTCATGGGCTGGAGTTTCCAGTTATGCTGGTATTTTCTGGTCATGAAAAGGAGTGAAACAGCTGAAGTTCCCTTCCTTTTCAGAATTCTGTCCTTATGACTCTACATACACAGCATAATATTGCCAATGACTGTCCAAATTAAATTGCCCAGTATAGAAAACACACATCTGTTACTTGAGGTGTGAAAATTCAGGTCTCCTCTCTGCTTTATAGTTAAGAGCTGGATGTGCTTTTTGTTTGTTGAGAAGCTGTCATCAGTTTGCTTCTGAAACATGGCAGAAAAAATGGCTCTGTGCTTTGTAGGCCAGATTTTCTTTCTAACTGTTGTGATTTTTCTTTTTTTTTTTTTGAAACAAGTATTAAATAGAGAACAACAACTAGCAGCATTTTCGGTGTTGTGTACTGACAGGAACACACTGGCCACAGCTGGGAGGAGGATCAACACCATTTTGTTTCATCACTGAGTTATCCCCAAGAGATGAAAAAGCTTTGAAAATCAAGAAGCTGTATTTTAACCAACTAGGAAGATATGTCTTTTAAAAAGCCTTAAAACCCTAAAGAAAATACAGAACAAGTTGAGAAGAAAGGATCAGACAGGTGGTATATAGCTTTTCCCACTGCATTTTTTTTTTCATGAAAGTCCTTTCAGCCAACCCAGTGGCTTTGGCAGAAAATTTTGGAAGGTTTCTTCTTACCCTTAGGGTATTTCCACTGCCTGGCTTTTACTTGTTTTCCTCCTCTTCACATCTTCCCCCTCTTTGCTTTGCTTTGCAAAGCCTCCCATGAGCTGGAAGCCCTGCAGTGTTTCCTTGGCTGCTGCACCCTGGATTTTTTTTGACCATGTCCATTTTTCCTGTGCCTTCAGGGTGTTCTCATGTTGTTGCCAGTTCAGCTGTGTGTGTGTCTGTTAGGATGCAAGTGGGGATGGACACGTGCACATTTTGATGGATATGGAATAAAATAAAATATGGATGAATTCTATCTGACTAGTTAATCCAAAAACCATAATTTATTTGAGGTGTTTCTTTTTTTTTAATGAGTATTTGTGTTAGCGCTGTTTCACTGTACTTCTGTTCACTGCTGTGAGTATAAAATACTGTGCAAAGAACAAATGTAACTCCATATCCCAAACTGGGAAGATTGTATCAGTTATTAAATGAGCAGTAAATTACCTCTTGAAGTTTGCCTCTCAAAATGTTCAGTTAGTTAAGGGGAAATCAGATATGTGATTCTTTCTACTGTAAACATAATAAAACTATTATCCAGCTCAGAAAAGTGGCATGTTAGGATTAAGACTTCCAGGTAGGTACAAATGCTGTGCTTTTGTTCTGGCTGCTTCCAGGATTGTTGGTTTATCTCCTTGTCCTTTGAAGAGCTGCCTGATGTGTTTGATTTTCACTTTGCAGCTGAGTCTCTTTCCTTTTCTCACCACTGCAGACAGTTGCAAGAGCAGCAGAGGCAGAAGGAGCTGGAACGGGAGAGGCTGGATCGCGAACGGATGGAACGGGAGAGGCTGGAGAGAGAGAGGCTGGAAAGGGAAAGGCTGGAAAGAGAGCGCCTGGAGCAGGAGCAGCTGGAGAGGGAACGGCAGGAGAGGGAACGGCAGGAGCGCCTGGAGAGGGAGAGACAGGAGAAGGAGAGGCAGGACCGTGAGAGACTGGAACGACTCGAACGGGAGAGGCAAGAGAGAGAGCGGCAAGAACAGTTGGAAAGGGAACAGTTGGAATGGGAAAGAGAGAGAAGAATTTCAAATGCTGGTAAGAATTTCAAAATCCGAGCATGTTCTACCACCAGACCGGTCTTGATGTGTTTGGGTGATGGAGTGGGAGAGAACCAACAAATGGCAAGGGTGTACAGCTGTGTAGCCACAGTCAGTGTTTCAGGCTTCATTTGGCTGGAATCCCTTCCCTTTTTTTATGGCAAGAAGTCTAAGACATTTGACTTTCCTGTCATAATTTTCCATTAATTCTGAAATAAATTTTTTTGCATTCTTTGCTCACTCCGTTGCCGTACTCTCTGATTGCGTTGAAGAGCTTGAATCATTTTGGGCACCTCCAACATTGGTTGAAGTGTGATGAGTTAAACTTTCTAAATACCTTATCATTGTTTGCTCTATTCAACAAATGTGTTGTCATTACATAAGTTGGGAAAAAACCCCTAAAAGGTATCAGGTTGAGTGTGTTAACATAGAAGGTATGTTGCTATATAAGGCAAAGTAATAGTGTGAGAAATGCTTTTCAGTCTGATGCCTTGCCTAATCTATCATTGTAGTAACATTTCAGTGAAATGTGTTGTATGTATTTGTAGATAAGATAATGCTCTGCCTGTGGAAAAGCATCCAGTGATAACTGAAAGCTTTCTCATTTTGGTAATATAATGGAACATTAGTCAAGTTCTTGGTTGTTCTTCAGTCTCAAACTCAATTTACATAAGTCAGCTCATGGTGAAAGTCAAGGAATACTATGTAAGTCATTTTAGAGCAGAGGATTTTATTGGTAGCTTTATTCCCAGTACTTTCAATATTTGCTATGCAGCTTTTTCTGGGGAATAGAGAGATGACACTTGCTGCCTATGGTAAGAGTTTTATTATTGGAGTTGAAACAAATGATCGCTAAGATCGCTAATGAAACAAATTATCACTAAGATCATTAAGATCGCTACATTTGCTTCCAGTTTGCAACCAAACAAGAAGATAAAAGCTGGTAAAAGACTGATTGCTCAACCCTATATCTAACCCATCTTACAGATGGGATTTGAGAAAACTTCCTCTAGAACGTACTTGTAAATTCAGTTGTTGGCACAAAAAGAGTTGGTAAATTTTAAGAGCAGCTGTTGATAATATGTAAAACTTTCCTAACAGTATTTTCACTTGTGCCTAATCCTCTGGTACTAACTGTAGTCTACATTTTTACATTTTGTTCGAATGCTGGTTTTGTTGCTTCATTAGCTCCCTTTTTCTCTTTCTCCTTTTTTTATCCTGCCTTTGCTGCTGCTTTCCATCTTCTGTCCAGCTCCATCTTTCGACAACTCCCCGTATAGCACTCCACTTCCTGAATACTCCAGTTGCCAGCCTCCTTCAGCACCTCCTCCATCATATGCAAAAGCAGTCTCAGCGCCAATGGCCGAGGCCACACCGGAGTACGCTGTAGTGACTTCTGCACCACCGACCTCCACTCCCCCTACACCGCCTCTAAGGCACTCTGCATCGCGTTTTGCTACATCCCTAGGCTCGGCTTTCCACCCCGTTCTCCCCCATTACGCCACGGTTCCTCGGCCCGTGAACAAAAGCTCCCGGCCCCCTTCTCCCGTGGGCGCCGCGGCCACGTTGCCTCCCAGCAGCAGCAGCAGGCCCGCGGCCTGGGCCGCGCCCAGCTTCGCGCCCCTGCCCCCGTCTCCTCCGGTCATGATCAGCAGCCCTCCGGGCAAGGCCGCCGGGCCCAGACCCGTCCTGCCCGTGGCGGCTTCCAACGCAGCGGCCCAAGCGTCCACGTCTTCTCCCACGGCTCCCAACGGGCTTCCCGAAAACCTGGCTTATCCGGTTCCTTCACCTTCTACCTCAGGTCCAACGCCGCCTCCGCCACCTCCTCCCCCCCCGCTGCCTTCCTTTCCGCCTCTGTCACTCTCTGGGCCTCAAGCTTCTCCTTCTCCCAACTCCCCGAATGCCTCGACTCCCTCATCCAAGCCTAGTGTTCTCCCTTCTCCCTCTGCAGCTACCCCTGCCTCTGTTGAGAACTCTCTAAACTCTGTGCTGGGAGACTCCTCTGCTTCTGAGCCAGTCTTGCAGGCAGCCTCTCAGCCGGTTGAAGCTCCGAGCCAGCAGGGTAAGGCTTTCTGTTATTGCTACTAATGCGCTAAGCAGGGCAGGGCAGAGCCCTGACTGCCCCCAGGCATGAGCACGATGCTCCCCAAGCTGCACTGATCCTAATGCCCAACACTGCTGGGGTAAGGGAAATGGAAGAGCTCTGTGCCTAGGAGCTGATGTTCTGTGGCCTGTCATGAGTAAAATCCTCATTTCTTAAGAACTCGCCTTTGGAGAACACAGTTGGTCACATTCTTGCTTGGTAAACCCCGCACTGTTGGTTTGTTTGGGAAGTGGTGTTACCACTTCATAGTTCACAGATCATTAATGGCAGCCAACATAGAGGAGCACATGTGTGGCTTTGGACATGTAAATGGCCTTCAGTGAGGTCATGGTTTATTAGGGAAGTGTTGTTACCACTTCATTAGTTCATAGATCATCCATTTCCTAATGGCAGTCAACATAGAGGAGCACATGTGTGGCTTTGGACAGGTAAATGGCCTTCAGTGAGGAACAATTCAAATTTAGAAAGTAATGTGTGACACCAACATTTCTTTCTGGGCAGTGGTTGTATTTTGATACATTACTGTGTGCACATACACATGTATGTGTGTATTTAGATATAGAAAGACAGGTATTTTACCAGTGTAGCTAAGAAGACTTTGGGCAAAAAGTTTGATTAAGCAGGTGACAGCCTTAATGAACACTCCACCAATATGATAGAAATGGATTTTACATGGTAATACAAGTCTCTGTTAACCTGAATCCTACTTTTATACTGATTTAGCAGATTTAGGTGGATTTAGTTGATGTAGGTCTTTGTACAGAACTCTGCAGTAGCTCCAAAGGTGTGGGCAGAGGGGTTCCTGGGGGATAAGCAGCTTGGTACAAGCCATGCAGAATGGACCCTGTTTATATCCTCCTGTCTGAAATGAAGGTCTGAGCTGCTTTGGGATGGAGTGGAAATAGAATAAATGGCCTCACTTTAGTATGGAATAAAAGTGTGCACTTGGACAGTGAGTGATGCCAAGAGGGTTCAACAGGCTTTTGAATTTCTGCAGTGGTAGCAGAGTAGGAGACCAGGAAGACTCATATGTGAAATCTCTGCCTTTGAAGATTAAGGTAGTTGTGCAGTATTTTTCGTGCCTTTTGGTGGCTTTGGTGAGACAGAGGTAGGATCTGTGGAGGTGTGGAGCTGTTGTCTGCATCAAGATTTCTTAATAATAATAATAATAATAATAATGTGATCATCAGAATATTCTTTTTCCAAAGTATACTTTGTATTTGGATAACAATGTGAATTTAAATAAGTAGAAGAGCAATAGATAAAAAATAGAAGGGCTTCTTCCCATTAGCTTGAAATATGTCAGTCTTCTAACTCACTAATTGCTGTTTGTGTTAAATTGTAAAAGTTGATTGCTGGAATTATTTTAAAGGAAAGATTTACATACAGCTTAGAAGTTAGCATTGGCACTGGAACAGTGCAGGGGTTCAGATGTTTGGGTGGTGTGTTAGGGTTTGTTAATGCAGTGAGGTACTGCTCAGCACCATGTGAGCACACCCTGTGGTTCTCCTGCTACAGATGCTCATGCCTGACTTTACTCTCTGCCTGTTTCCTGGTGTAAAGCTGTTCTTGGTTGCAGCACAGACCCTGACTGGATGGGTTTCATGTAAATATCTCTGGAACTGTCTGATCTCTCGCAGCATGCTGTGTAATTTTTTTAGTATATTATTTAAGAATGCTTCTCTCTTGCTGAAGTTCAGTGTTTCCTTGCCCAGTATCTTACCAGTTTTAGTATCTCGTACACTGACCAAAAGAGCCACCATTTCAATGGAAGCAAGACCTTTTGTTTTCCAAATCCCTAATGTCTTCTGTTTGTTTTCTCTCTGACACTAGGTGCTGTCCAAGGACCGCCTGCACCTCCTCCTCCACCTCCCCTGCCCCCTGGCCCAGCTCAGTCTTCAGTAGCAGCCCCGGCTCCTCCTGGCCCTCCGCCACCTCCTCCCCTGCCGCCCTCGGGGCCGCCCCCGCCGCCGCCGCCGCCTCCTCCGCTGCCCAGCCAAGCCCCTCCCGTTCCCCTGCCCCCTCCGGCTCCCCCCCTGCCGGCCTCGGGCTTTTCGGCGGGGTTCGTGGCCGAGGATAATCGCCCTCTAACTGGACTAGCAGCTGCACTCGCTGGAGCCAAGCTTAGGAAAGTCTCACGGGTAAATAGAGCTCTGGTTTCTTTTTCACCTTCCTGTCCCCTCTCTTCTAACCTTGGGTCAAGGTAAACAGCAGTGTCAAGGCATTTGGGGTAGGCTTAGTTCATGAAGGAAAAAGCATTACAGGATGTGCTGCCAGCCCATGCCATCCTTTATGCACTTGTGCCTGTGGCATTCATGTTCTCTGAAAAAATCCCTTCACCCAGAATTTTTCTCCTGGGAACCTGAGAAGCCTCAGAAAAAAGGATAAGAATGGATAAGAATGCTTCTCTCCTGCTGAAATTCAGTGTTTTCTTGCCCAGTATCTTATCAGTTTTAATGTCTCATACACTAAACAAAGAGCCACCATTTCAATGGAAGTAAGACCTTTGTTTCATTCACATTCTCTGAAAAAATCCCTTCCCCCAGTATTTTTCTCCTGGGAAGTTGAGGAGCCTCAGAGAAAAGGAAAACAATTCTTATCTCATTTGCTTCTCCTGTGTTGTGCTCACATGTGGACTGTATTTGGAGATTGGAGATTGTTTACCCAAAGGTTTCATTGTTTCATTAGATTCTGCTATGAATTGTTTTAACTCTCTGGCCAATCAGGGCCAAGCTGTGTCAAGACTCTGGAAAGAGTCACAAGTTTTCATTATTATCTTTTTAGCATTCAGTAAGTATCTTTTCTATATTCTTTAGTATAGTATAGTATTCTTTAATATAATATTATAAAGTAATAAATTAGCCTTCTGAGAACATGGAGTGAGATTCATCATTCCTGCCTTTGTCAGGACATTCCCAGCAAATACAATATGTGCCTTTCTTGCACGTGAACTTTGCTGGTTCCATGAAGTCAGCTCTCATTCTGTTGGCACATCTGCTGTCTTTTTGTGTGCTCTCAAGGGTGAAGACTCCTCCAGTTCGAGTGGAGGAGGAGGAGGAGGCTCTGCTTCATCCAAAACAGACGGTGGCCGTGGAAATGGACCCCTTCCCTTGGGAGGCAGTGGGTTGATGGAAGAAATGAGTGCCCTGCTGGCCAGGAGGTGAGGAGCTGTTCCTGCTCTGCTCCAGCTGCTTAGTCATCATCACACAGGTGGGATTTGGGCTTGCAGCTGGCTGGGGATCAGATGGAGAGCAGCTCAGGGCTGCTTTGGGAAGCTGATCATGTTTCATGAATAGCCATTTTTATGTGAGTGTAATCCAGTACTTCTGTGTAAGCCTTTGTGCAGCAGCAAGGGAGGGCATGCAGACTTCAAATTGCACAATTGCTTTGGCAGGAGGGCCTTGCCTTTGAAGGTGTTTTGAAAGTACTTCTTAAAACACTAATTTTCATGAGGCTGTGTAAGTCTTTAATTGCAGTAAACAACATTCTTCCATCTTAAAGCCATGATGAGCTTGGTAACTTTTGTCTCTGCTTACAGGAGAAGAATTGCTGAAAAGGGATCAACAGAACCAGAGCAGAAAGAAGATAAAGCTGTGAGTTGAGAAATTTTATCTGATTCACATTGCTCAGTACAAGGATTAGCAGAGAGATTCCAGTGGTGTACAAGGGATTATTTATACTTTACTGTATAAAATATACATATAACCACTCGTCTGTGAAGTGCTTGCTCATTTTCTATATACAGTTCTGCAGAGCCATTTTAAATATATATATAAAAACTGAAATATTTAAACAGTTGAGATTGGTTCTTTTGAATCTAACAGATTATAAAGATTATTTTTCTCCTTCCCTCCTCTCTCCCTATTCCCTCTCTTCTCCATTTTAATCAGGAAGAATCAGAGTCTTCATCTTCTAAGGTTTCTTCAACAAGCACACCTGGTAAGTAGCTCAGGTTTGTGAACTCTGGGACTCTGTAATGCTAAAATCTAGTGACAAATCTTGGTCAGCTCTGCTGAATTTTGGAACCTCCCTCTTCTCCCATGATTACAGCCTGGGGTTTTGCTGTAGAATGGGTCCTGGTTCAGAAGATGATGGATAAAAAGACTATAAGTGAATAAAGAATATAAATGCAGAGTGCTAAAATTCTTTGCCCATGACCCCTCTGCTGAAGAGGCAGTGTTTGGAGCTCTGTAGCCAACAGAGTCAGTGAGGAAAACTTACACATTCTGCAAGTGGCATGCAGATGTAAAATATGTAAATTATTGTCTCTCAAGAGACACTCAAAACTTTATTTTCCTGTCCTTTAGTAGTCCCTTGTTGTACCCTCAGTTTCCCTGAGCACCTCTCAGTACATACCTGCAAAAAGGGGGGGCTGTGCCGTAGAACCCTCCAGTCTGTCACCCCAAAAGGCAGTGGAAGCAGAAAGGAAATAACTGGATAATGAATACGCCAACTTCCAGTCTGTTCCAGCTTCCTCTGCTGATTGCTTGCCCATGTGTGCACTGCTCCTCCAGATGGTTCAACCACTTGATGATGTGCAGACCTTAATATTGAAAACCACTGCTGTAGTGTGAACAAAACCTGGCTGGGGAATAAAAAGGAGTGCCAGGGGTTGTGTGTCCAGATGGAAATAACTGGCAAAGTTAGTACTGAGATATAGGCACTCATCTAGAGAAGTCAGACTGCAAGGAAATAAATGACATCACACAAATCAAGGTTTTCACACACACACACACCTTTTTTTTCCTCTTCTTTTACAAGAGTCTGCTTCATTTTGTTCAACACATTCTGTTAAACAGAAAGGACATCAGCCTTGAGAAAATGACTGCTTTTGGAACACTTCTAATAATATAGGCCCAAAAAGAGGGAAATTAAAACCTCTGGAACTGGTTTCTTTAATTGGTGATAATAAGAAGCCTCACCAAACCTGTTAAAAATGTCAAATGGGTTCAGAATTTGACCATTCCCTTCCAGCTGAGAAAGTTTTCTTTGTTTCTTGCTGTGAGATGCTCTGGTAATGCTGAGCCTCATCACTGGAACAGGTCTTTAAAGTGTTTTAAGAGGAATATTTGGCATCCTTGAGCAAACTGCAGCTATAGCAGAAGTTTCTCAGTTTTGCAGATATAGCTAAAATCCTGCTAAAATAACTCCTATGGCAGGACAAGTTCTGAAAACTGGTGGATAAAAATTAAGTTTAAGGCTTATTACTAGCATAAGTAGCCTGCACTTGGCTGGGTTACAGACTGTGCTGGCAGACTTGTGCAATTTAGATATTCTCAGTATCCAGCTGCATCCCAGGGAATTTTCTGGTCAATAAGAAACTCTGAAAGGGCCTTTCTGCCTCTCTGCTTGCCCAGCTTAGCAGAGCTAAGCAATGTGAAAGAAAGGGAGCACACCAAACAAACTCCAAATCTGAAGTGAAGACTGATAAGATCACTGGCACACTGAAGTCCTGAGTAAGTAATGATAGCAATTAATAACAATCCACACTACAGAGAGGCTGTTTTAATTTGTGCAGGTTGTAAGGAGTGAACCTCCTTCTTTCTTGTTGCTGAAAGATACTGTGGTTGTGTCAGGTTGTATCTGCTGGCACTTCACTGAAACTGGCACTGAATTAATTATCATTAAGAGTTTTAAGAAAACTCCTTTAGCTTAGAAACCTATTCCTCAAGTGTTTGCAGCTGACTGGTTACAGAATTCACAGCTGAAGCCATCCAGTACCTATAAATACCTATAAATAAATCAAATGCCTATAAAATATAGGCAGACCTTCTCCCAGCTGGATCAAAAATCAAATGGCATTGACAGTGTCTGGGAGACCAGTGACACTTCAAGATGCTCTCACTTGATGCATTCACATGTCGCAGACATCTTTTTATGAAAAATCCTTTCCTTAGGATTTTTCTTCCTGAGAAGCTGAGAGGCCTCAGGAATAAAATGTAAACATTGATTATCTGCTGCTGTGGAATGCAACAGGTGCATCTGTGATTAGTCTCATGTGGATGTTTGTAATTAATGGCCAGTCACAGCCCAGCTGGCTCTGTCTGAGCCACAAACCTTTGTTATCATTCCTATCTATTCTTAGCTTAGTTGGCCTTCTGAGATGAAACCTTTTCTTCTATTCTTTCAGTATAGTTTTAATGTAATATATATCATAAAATAATAAATCAAGCCTTCTGAAATATGGAGTCAGATCTCTGTCTCTTCCTTCAACATAAGACCCCTGTGAACACGGTCACATTCACAGATGAGTACAACAAGAGATAGCTGAATGTGAAAGAGATAAAGCAATGTAATAAAAAGAGCAAAACACCAAGCAGCTGACTTGACTTGCCAGATGCTTGAAGTCTCCTCACATAAATTACCCAGTGGATAGAAAAAAACAATTTTTTATCTCCTCACTCTGTTTTTCAGAACTAACAAGAAAGCCTTGGGAAAGGACAAATACAGTGAATGGAAGCAAGTCACCTGTTATTTCCAGGTATTCCCCTTTTGTACCGGCTGCTTTTCCTTACATTTGTTATTGTTGCACATGCTGCTAAAGATACTGAACTAGAATAGTAAAGATCACCTTTATGGGTTTAAAATTGCTGCTATGAACCTGCTTTAAGCAGTTTTAAGTAGGAATGAAGAGTTACTTTTGGAGAATGCTAATAAGAGAAATTTTGACAGTAAAAAGTTTTACCCCAAAAAGTTTAACAATTTTTGGTGTATAACCTGAATTAATAAGGTCTATATTTGCTTACAGCAATGTTGAATTTTTTATTTGAAGTCTGAAATTTCTAGCAAGGTGAAACCAAATGTGCTGCAGTTCACATGTTCAGTAGTAAACCTAGAGAATAGGTGTTCTTTCTATTTCTCTGCCACTCACAGAATGCCTTTGTGGATATTTCAGTTATCTTGGTAAGACTTGATTCTATGACAATTTTCAGTAGCTCTCGTACCAATCTAAGAAAGTCCATCCTAAAGAAGTATAAAAATGTTTTAAATCCTTCAGTGCATCAACCAATCTTTGATAACTTGTCAGCTGGAACTCTGGTAGGCAGGGAGTGTTTTGAAAGGCATTTTCAGCAAGTGAAATGGCTGCTTTAGCAAGTTTTTGGATATATATTTGATTGTAATTTACTTTAGGCAGAAGGCTTATTCATTTAGAATTCCTGTGTATTGTGTACACAGAAGTTAAAGGGTTCCCTGATAATCTGAGGAAGTTCCCTGAATTTCTTGAGAGAAAGCAAGAGAAACATGTTCAGCTTGGGAATGCTGTGTTTGAAATTACTTGAATTCCCATTAAAATCTGGCTGTTGGACACAGCTATAAAAGATTTGATGATCAGAGTATTAAAAACAATTATTCTGTGAGTGGCCTCACTTGTAGCTGAGGTTGCCCTTGGGGTATTCAGTTCTAAAATGCAACACTAAACACTCTCTTGTGAAGAAAGTATCTCTATTTTAGAATAAATGCAGGAGTCTGAGGTGTCTGCAGCCTTGGTTCTGGTTGCTTGCTGTGTTTTTTGTCCATAAGCAGGTGCCATTGGTGGTGATGTTCTCTCTGCCACCCTGTCAGTGTAACAAAATCCTGAATCACCTTTGGCCTTGGCTTTCCCTGCCCTCGCCAGTAGCTCTAACCTGCTTTGACCAAGGTCCCTTATGCTGATATTTTGATCTGCTTCGAAAGGTGGCATTGAGGGGGACCTTGTCACAGAAAGAATTGGTGTAAGGAGTCCTAAAGAGCATTTTAGAGCTCATGTTGTGTGAGACAGGTGCTGACCTGGCCCTTTGGCTGTAGGTACTTGGCTCAAATTGCTTATCCATAGAGTAAAGGGATTAATAAGTCGGGCAACTCTCAATGTCTGACTCTTCTAGGGAGTCTGGGATGTTCTGAAGTCTTGATTCTACAGTAGGTTTTTGTAAACTGTTTCATGCTTCCAGTTTCTCTGATCTTTTTCCAGCTGGTGAAATTCAGAAGTTGCTGAGGTCTATTTAAAAATGCTTTCTGACCTAGAGGAGTACAGAGGATTTTTAAGATCTCTCTTGGATTTATTTGGGCACTCTCTCCATCAGGCTTTTGTCATCATTCATCCAGTGGAAAATGCAAATAGAATTTAACTTGATGTGAATTTCCCTGGGTGTATACTCTAATCCAAAATAGGAATTCTGTTTATTTAATGTCAATTTTCTTTCCCAGTGCTGTCACAACCTGCTGGAAGGTGCCATAGCACATACTTCAGGCCTGCCGATACCATTTTTTAGTCAGTGTTGACAGCATGCTCTGCCAGGATGAGGAAAATTTCATACAAGGAGAAGCTGTTAGAAGAAGTCTCTCTTGAATATCCTTGTATTTCTCTTAACTCTCCACATTTGCCAAGTCCCTCTCAGCAGTCTGCTTGTTAAATTAGCTTTGTTTAGTCAAGGGGAGCTGCAGTTTGAAGCACTAACACTGTGTTTGCCAGGAGGGGATTTCTTTCACCCTTTAGGATGTGAGGATTTCTTTCACCTGACCTCTGCAGGGAGGATGTGAGTCACACACAGGGATTAAGCAAAGCACACTTCAGAAACTGGCAAGTCAGCAAAATTTTCTCTTCAGAGCTTCCCCAGAGGTAGAGGATCAAGTTGTTGTTATCCAGAGAGAATGTTAGAAGTATTTTAAAACAAGTTAGTGTCCTGTCTAAAATCAGGTCTTTGCTTTTTGGAGCAAACAGAAAATACTTAAGCTGTGGATTTTTAATATTTCCTGAAACATGCAAATAGAACTCTTGAATCTACTGAAACCCCATGGTGTTTAAGGTGCTAGAAGTGAACAAAATGAAGAGCTCTAATAGCTTTTAAAGGTAGTGTTTCTCCCCCTAATAGACGGGAATCTCCATGGAAAAATCTGCTTGCTTCTGAAAACAGGTTCTATGATTCATTAAACAGGTATCATCCTGTTGGGATTTGAGACTTCCTAACACCTCCTTTGACCAGTTCAGGGTTGGACTTTTTCTACATGGGTTGGTAATCACCACATGCACCACCAGGTTCCTCTCCCACATTTTGTTTGTCCAGTTGAGCCCATTTTTAGACTGGTTAAAAGGCAAATTGAGATGGCTGAAGAACCAGGTATGAATTCATATGAAATCCTTGTTTTCTGGCAGTCTCCACCTGCAAAGGTACAAATTCCTGTTGAATATGCCAGGATTTAGTGGACCATTTGCAGTGTTTTAAGAAGCAGGTTTTCAAAACTGTTAGTTCAGATACAGAGGAACAGGAATTAATTTTCTAGGTGTGTTTTTACATCTGCTTTTTGATTGAAGACTTTTAAAACATAAATTAATCTTTCTACTTGGAACATATTCACAAGTTGGTTACCATCATGTGTATTTTTTGCTGGAGATCTTAAATTTCACTCTCTAGTGGTCATAAAGTGCTGACATTGAAACCCTTCAGGTTTTGAGAGCTTTCCAGAGGTAAATGTTGTTCCAGAGCCTCTCAGAATTACTGAGTCAAATTCCAGCTTTGTTTCTCATGAAGGCACTCCTTGTGGTGATTACTTAATCTTTTTGTATGAAAAGTTCCCCTTTTAGCTACTTATCTTGAGTGGTGTATTCTGCATGTTGGCATGGATAAGAGCTTTCCTTTGCATGCTTGGTTGAAGGTGTGTTAGGGACTGTCAGGCAATGCTTTGGAAAACCACATGGGAGAGCTCTTCAGCCACGTTGGGATGTTTGTATTCACTCAATTTCAATAGTTCATGTTTGCCTAAGTGACAGCTGCATTCAGGCTGAAAAAGGGAAAAATTAGCATAATTTGGGGAGGAGCACAGCTAGATTTTCCTGAGATTAGAAATTATCTATTTTGCTAATTATGGTATTTCAGTGTTTGAATTAAGAATGTCTTGCAATTTGGAAAGCAAAAAGGGAGCACATTGTCAAGATTGTTCATAAAGAAGCTTTCCTGTGGAGATTTTTAACAGATAGAAGCAGTAGATAGTTATAGTGGGTAAAACTGACACTCTGTTCTAAAGATATGAAGAAAAGGAAGCAGTCAGTTTGTGTAGAGCTTTTCTTTGAAGTCATCTTATTAATACATTGAACTCATAAGTAATTTTAAAAAAATATTAAAGTATACTATTGATTGGGTTTTTCCATTAAGGCAGCACTAGGTGACTGTTACCAATTGCAAGGAGCTGCATTTAAGAGGATTTTTTTCAGTCATGCTGGATAAATGCTGTCATGCCACAGTGTATGGGAGCAGAACTACAGTCAATGGAAATTATCAGAAACTATCTATGAGCTATCTGAAAAAATCAGTGTTCTGCCTGGAGCAGGTCAGGGCTCGCAGTTTCAGGTGTAAACTGCAAGTAACTCTTTAAATAGCAGGTACCTGCTGAAACAGCAATGGCCAAAGGTGTCAGCTGATGAATGTTTTTGAGCAAGGAATTCTTCCATAGTGAGCTAAACACTGTAACATGTAAAAAGTTCTGTAAAAGATCCTAAACTGTGGTTTGCCTTCATAGCATTAGTGCACACTGTAGTTTCTCTGGTGGTTGCAAGGTGAATTCTATTTTCCAGCTGCTTTCACTATCAAGTTACTCAATATTTCATCTTCTGTCTTACTCAGTGGATTGTGTGTTTCATTTTGGTGTGTTTCAAGAAAAGTAATTAGCAATTTCTCTCTGGGAACTTATATTTAAACTGTGTGGACTTAAGTCTTGACAGCTGTGACAGCTGAGGTCTCTGATCCCCAGGGAAGAACAAACTTCAAACCAACATTTTGATATGTGCACCCTGTTCTGTGGGAATCACATTTTTGAGTGTTCTTCTTCATTTAGCAAGTCAGAACACAATCCTGTCAGGTTGTAAAAGCCAACAAGACAACCCAGTGTGAGGTTCATTCAGCTCTTACTGAACAAAACCAGCAGAATAGTATCATTTCCTCATAACTCCTGTCTTGTAAGGGAAGATGCATGAAAGCTCAAGGTAGGGTAGTGATTTTGTAAAACAGACAAAGAAATAAAGTCTTTTTTTCATTCTTATCCACCTTATGTGTCTGCAGCCTCATGTAACAAATGCAGAAAAATGCAGTGCTGAATGAATTTCTTCTGTGTAGGAATTTTGAAGGGACACACTGAGTGTAGGCCAGAGATGCCACATACAAGGGCAATGAAATTAGGACCCAGCTTAGTCTACTTTGTACTCTGCCCTTCCTTAAAATTAGCATGCTGTGATAATTCTAAACCCCTTGAGATGAATTGTCAAGAAAAGGCTTGAAGTTTTATAGGTAAGGGAGGGAGAATGTCAGCAAAGGTGTAAAATGTATTTAAGAACATCAGAACATTCCTCCCTCTTGGGAGAGCTCTTTTGGTATTCCTGCTGTGGACATCCAGGCTCTTCTCTGCTCACAGCTCTGTAAGTCCCTGAGTCTGAATTACCCCTTAAATGAAACAGGGGATCAGGAAAGAGAAGTGGAAAGGCAGGAAAACCCCCTTCTCTTGGAATCTGTGTTAAAAATGCAAGGTGATCTGGGTAAGCATCTGGTTTTTGATGTCTAAAAGAGAGCATTTCATAAGAAAACATGAAATATGACATTGTCCAAACCATTAGGACTTCCTCTCAAGTATCATAAATAAAGATAAATCTTGGTGCTGTTACAGTATTTGCTTTTAGTAGCTTTAGAAAGCAACTGATGGAATAATTGAGGTTGCAGAGGAGTTGGATAGCATTGCTTGGGTCTGTCAAGTGTTGAAAATGCCCCAGGGTGATTGCTCAGCATCCATACAGTCAGCATCAGCATGCAGTCATTAGTTGGTGGGAGTGTTTCCTTGGGAGACAGAGCCTCTTTTGAATGAGCCTCAGTTACCAAAGCAAAGTGCTTGACATTTGAAGGAGTTCAGCTTTTCATGCCCATTATGAAGAAATCAGAAACCACTGACAGTGAAATCTGTCTGCTGCTTTGAAAGTTCTTGGTTTGAACTAATAACTCTTATGGTAATTAATATTTCCATTGTGTGGAAAACATTCTTGGGTGTTGCTTTCTATTCTGTGTGGTATTGTGGGTCTGCTTGATTTTTCCCATCCTCCCACTCCCAATATTTTTTTGTTTTCCATTCTGATTTTTTACTATATTTTTGTTATACGAATATCAGCAATTTTGATGGGGGAATCTCTTATGTATCCTGTAATAATGAGCAACCAGTAACTCCTGGATATGTTTTTGTGCTGCAGACCAAAATCTACACCAACGGGACAGCCCAGTGCCAATGGAGTACAGTCAGAAGGTCTAGATTATGACAGATTGAAGCAGGTATGTGGATAATGCTTTAAAAAATGTTGCTATGGAAGTTGGATATAAGAACTTGCAGCTGCCCGATACCAACTTTTAGCTGTTTTGTTAGTTGCAAAGTTTTAATGATTTAGTAATTATTAGTCTTTATTTTTGCCCAGGCATGTGTCAGTGTTCTTAGGAGCTGTAGGATGGAGGCTTAGACAGCCCTGCTTGTTTCTCACAAAATTCCTGCTTTTGCATTAGGCAGCACTCACAGGATGGTGTTGGCATTATAAATGGAACTGGGAAATCAGTAAGCCTGGAAAATCTTTCTCTTCTCTGTTTCCAAACAAACACCAAGCCCTTGGGGCAGCTCTAACAGCACCACCATGATTTAATATCAGATGTGAGCACCTGTGGTCACAAGTTTGGGGGTGGCAGAGCACCCAGGGATGCTGAATTTTGTGCAGCTCCCCAGTTCAGCAGCAGAGGAATCCTGTGTGAGTTGTGGAGTTGGAGGTGAAGGATCTCCAGGTGGTGTTTGGATCAATCATCCCCAAGTGGGGAGAGAGGTTCTGGTGCAGGCTGCAGCTCAGTGGGTAATTCTAGAGCCACTCCTACTTTGGCAGCGACTTTTAGTTGCTTCTAGACCATGTCCCCACATAGTGCTTGGCTTTAGGTTGGTTTATGGATCAGTTTTGGTTGGTTCTGTATTGGGTCCTGGTTCACCAGTTTTAGAGTGGCTTCTGGCCTGGTGAGTGGTTCTGGAGGAGCTTAGAGGAAAGGATGGAAAAAACAGCAAGCCAGGGACAGCACTTCACTCTGTTCACTCTCTTCTCTTCATTCCATCACATTCCACTGGGACTGGGACCTTGATACCTTGATTACCTTTTTTTTTTTTTTTTTTCCCTTGAAATACTTCCTTGGCTTGTGGTGTTTGGTGAGCTCCTTTCTTTGCATTCCACATCACATCTCACCTGCAGCAAAGCTCTCTCATTCTTATCCCTTCTCCTCTCATAAATTCTACAGGAATCGATTTGTGGCACTTCTAGGGACTGTTTTTTCTGTGTTGTAACTGCACTAATAATGTTCTAGGGATGCCTCAGGTTTTCAGGATTAACTTGGAAGCTGAGGAGTGGGTTATGCTTCTCAGAAGGGTTAAGGATTAATGGGAAGAGTTGTAGTGGGATAATTCTGGATTTCTTTCCACAGAAATTTACAATTTGCTAACACTAATCTCTTTGCTAATTTGTTATTTATGCTTTGACACATTTTTAGGATATTTTAGATGAAATGAGGAAGGAGTTAACGAAATTAAAGGAAGAACTCATTGATGGTAAGTATTGCTCTGTTCACTGCTGCTGCTCAGTTCTAGAGTAGCTGCAGGTGCTTTAAAATGTAAATGCAATGTATTGGTAGCCTGAGAGTGATTTATTGGTAAAAGCAACTTTGTTCTTTGTCTGGTGCCAAAGCTCTGGTGCCAGACCTGTTCCAGTTGATGTGCTTCAGGGATTTCCCTCCTGGGGGTTTTGTTTTAGTAGAATATTGACACAAAGGTGTCTTTTAAGAGTGGTTGAAGTGATGCTGTATTTGAGTGATTTGAAGTTATCTTTAATGTCATGTGGTGGTAGGTGGGTTATTTCTAAATAATCCAGAGCTGCTGAGGTATGTATTTCAAAACTAGAAATATTTAGAAGAGAATTTGAAAGAATTTTAATGAAAGCTTCCAGCTTTCAGTTACCTCTTTGATCTGTAACAAATGATTCAAAGAAAAGAAGTCTCACAGTTTTAATTTCTATTTTAACAGAAGCTATTTTCCTATGTGGTCTTCTGTACTTAAGGGAAATCATTGAGAAAACATAATCCTAAAGGTTCACTTGTCAGGAATGAAACAAAACTCTGTATATGATTTACTACCTTGGTGGGCCTTTTGTTCTTTTTGGCTTTGTGGAATGTACCAAAACAAAGTGCGGGGAGGAAAAAAAAGTCATATTAATCTAATATCACTGCTGATAAAATATTGAATGTCATAAGATATGTAGAAAGAACTGGCTGGTTTGGGACTAAGGAGAATGTAGTGCTTTTCTCTATATTTTGTTTGTGCTGTGTTGTACCATGGCCTTTTAGACCAGTAGAGTGCAAACACGCCCCCGAGGCTGCTCTTAAATTTAAAAAAAATTAAAATAAATGAAAATTTCTTTGAAAATCCCAATGTTGGTGTTTCCCACAGGCTTGCTGGAGGTGGGAACTAAAAATTAGGATTTCAACATAAATTTTACAGGAAGAAACAAGGCAGTGCCTGGTTGCTAATGCCACTTATCTGAAGCCACATGGGGCTGCCTTGGGTGCTGGTTCTTCCCGTTGTGAGAGCAGGGTGAGGCTGCTTTGAGGGGTCAGTTGTGTGTCCAGCTTGCTGCCCTAAAGTAAAGAATTGTTTATTTGATTTGCTAACCCTGTCTCTGTCTCTCTGCAGCTATCAGGCAGGAACTCAGCAAGTCCAATACTGCATAGAAAGACTCGTACTAAGCCGATGTGACTCTTTAACTTGATATAAAACTGACTACGTTTTGTGAGCTGTTAGAAGAAAACGGAGACAGACAGACAGACACTTGGAAGGAGGGAGAAACAACCTATTCTGAAAAGCTTCAGACACATCACTCTGGTGATAATGCTATTCCCCTCCTAGTTTGCAGCTTTTTTCTGACCTTTACAGCAGGGTGGAAAAGACTCTTAAAGTTACTGTAATGATTATGCAGAAATTCCTACATCTATCAGACAAGATCACAGTGCTTTGAAGTCTACTCATATCAAGATAAAATTGCACACGTTTCAGAATTTGTTGTTGAGACAAAAAAAAAAAAAAAACAAAACAACAACAGGGAAAAGCTTGGGAAGGCTTTTCAGAGAGGTTTTCTTTATTAATGAAGGAGTTAGCAAGTTATACTGTTGTACTTCAAATGTATCTCAGGTTTGTCTTCCTATCATATCTGATGTTTCCATGAGTAATTTAAGAGATCAGATGTGTAGAAGTTCGGTTCACGAGACGAGGAGCAATTGGAGACACGTGCTTTGAAAGGGCAATATTTGTAAGTGAGGGTGACCTAGATGGTGATGGCATATCAAGATTTTGGAATTTTATGATAGGAAGCCTCTCTAGTTAGCCTTCATGCAATTTTCTAGGAAAATTTAAAAAAAGAAAAAAAGCAAATACAGTCCAGAGTTTAAAGATGTAGATGCCTTCCTACATTGTTACAATGCTTTACCAAATCTAAGACTTCGACATAAAGCGAATCAGCAGTCAAATGTAAATCATTAGTATGTTGTAGATTTACAGTAGATTTTGGGGCTTTTTTTAGATTTATGCATGTGGACATTTTGTAATGTAACACAACACAGCCAGCTTTTTAATTAAAAGAAAAATTGCATGTCACAGAGTAGCCTTTTCATTTGTAAGGCTTAATTTATGCCCAGGAAGATGTGGGAAGAGGGAGGGGGAAGGTGACACATTTTTATTACTTTCTACACTTTTTCTTCATCTTACATGCATGTGTAATAATGAGGAAAACATGACTTTTATCAGTAACCATGTTAATGGAACCAGGTACTTGATCCTTTTGTATCTTTTTTCAGTTTTCTATTTGAAATTCAGTAATAACTTCCAGTAATGGTTCTGAAACTCCCAGGTGAACCAAACTCGTTTCTCGGTGAGAGAAAAAACGTTGTAGGCATCTGACTTGCTGAGGATGCCCCTGTGTAAGTGCATTGTCCTTCACCTTTTCACCATGACCCTCTGCTTCACTCTTTTCTGAGACTCCTTTTTTTTTTTTGGTTGTTTAATGAAACAGAACAGCAGAAGTTACCTGAGAACCATCAGGTCACAGTAAATGGCCCCTTCTCCTAATTTATCTGCCACCCTCCTTTCCAAAAAAACTCAAAGCCAACAATAAACCCCCACAGCTCCACACAAGACGAACCCTGAAAAATAGCAATGAAATGCTATTGGTCTTGCTCAACAATTTGAGAGTCATTTTTAGGGGAGGTGAGGTGATACCTCTCTCTTTCCCACGGTTTTCAATCTTATGAGTGTAAATTTTATTTTTTTTATTTTGTTTTTTAATGTGGTAAAGTTCAGTGGAATAGAAATTCTGCAAATTGGCTTTGTAGTGCTTTGAACAAAAAATATGGATCAAAATCTTCCCTTTTTCTTGCACTGTCCATTTTTTCAAGCCCTGTTTGCTTTGGAATCTGTGCTGATCCAGAAGAAAAGTTTACTTACAACTTGTGGAGAGATTTGCTTACAAGTACAGGCAGCTCCATTCGTGGCACAGATTCTTTCAATAACAGAGTGTCTAGAGTGCTGAACACCAAAGCAAAACAGCACTCAACAGCTTCAGAAAGGCTTCACTAGGAAATCTTTTTCCCATTCAAACATTGCCTGATCCTTTAGGTTCAGATTCTAAGGGAAGATGACAGTGGAAATATTGCCTAACTCCATTTATTAATTTTTTTTTTTTTTTTTAACAAAGAGGAGAAACAACATCACTTTTCTGCATGCATTTATTGAAGGCATTAAACAGAAAAAATCCATAGTAAGCTTGTCAAGTACTGTTTTTCTCAAAACAAGAGGAGGCATTTTCATCTTTGTTGATGTAGCTTTTTGTTTTACACAGACTTTTTGAGCAGTGAGGATGTTTACCCTTGTCAGAAATCACGTTTGATTCGTTTCTAGGAGGGTTCAGGAGTTACACAGTGGAATAGCATGGATGGCTATAAGTGGTCCAAAATTAAAGGCTGAACTTCTAGATTGTGCAAGGAACTGGCTTATGCACTAAACGTTTTGTGCCTTGGTCTACAATTAACATGATTTCTGTTTAAAAGAAAAAAGGAACAGATGTTGTCTTTTTGTGCTGCTTCTACATCCATACTTTCTGTAATCCCAACCTGCAGAACTGGTTCTTTCCAGGAAATTGGATTGAATTAAAGATTACTGTAGACATTTCCTGACCTACTGACAGTTGCACCGTTTCCAGAGATTTCAGTATTGAAAATGAACTGCAGAAGCTGCGATTGCTTTGCTTACCGGTGACTTAAGTCCTTTAAAAACCATATTGTGGTGGTTCTGTGCTTTTGTACATGGATGTCTTAAGCTGAGGGCAGTTTAAGGGATCCTTCCTAATGCCAGGAGGGCGTTGCTTTCCTCAACACTGTGATCTGACCTGTGATAAACCTGCACTAGAGACGAGTGGCTCCCGAGTCAACCGCAAACCAACTGAATGTAAAACCCTTAGTGCTGGTGCTGAAATCTCTTCAGACAGTCACAATGATTTCCAGTTCCTTGTTTTAAAGTTACCAAGTGTCAATCAAAGACTGAAGCTGTTCACTAATGAATGTTGACTTTTCATGCATTTAGGTTTACCTTCTTTTTAGTTTCTCAGTTCATTCTCTGCTATTTTTATCATATTGTGTCATTTTAAATTTCTTACATGCTAACGTTTTGTTTGAGCGAATGAAATAAAATTGCAATATATACACGTTGCCACCATTTATTTCTGGAACCTCATAGAAGATTCTCTGAGATTCACTGCTCAAAGTCCCCAAGTTTTTAATGACTGTGATCATTCCTTACTCCTTGATTCCACTTCCTTTCTGTTTCTCCATCAGAAGATCCAGTAGAGAACAGTGAAGATTTAACCTTATAGAGAATGTAACTGCAGGGACTGTGTACATCCATGAACGGTGACTGCTGTACATAAATTAAAATTAATTTCAAATGTATGATGTGATTTACATTCTCACATGGCATATACACACTTTGGTCTCTGTATCCATGGAGAACATGGAGGGAGAAGGAAAGACTGGGAGGGAAATAATTGCAGCCAGTCTGGCTTTTTCTCTTGCTGCTTTTATGTTCATGACTTACTTTCAGTACTGGTAATAAAGCAATGATCTACCATGGCAGATCATTAGAGGTTTCTGTGCACTAAGGACAGTTTCCTCAATTTATCTTGCAGCAGAATCCTGAGCAGAGCTGTTCAAATGTCCTTAACTTGACATCCTGAGGCTGTACTTCACTGCTGCTGCTGTTTGGCAAACCTTGGTGCCAGTGCCAAGTTTGGCACCAACCTTAGTGAGTTATAAAGGTTTGGGGTTTTTAAAATAAAATTATCACTAGATTCTGAAATGATCTGCTGTTTTTGGGGCAGTGTTTAGGCATCAAGTGTAAACATTTCTGATTTAAATGTCCTAACAGTGTTACCAACTCAGTCCATTGGTGTCAAGAGATGGATGGTAGCTACTTTTTAAAGCTGTGTATTCAAAGGTAGGGAGATGGTCTGTGGTTGATCACAGTGGGGATTGCCATGGGCTCTTCTCAAAATGTTCAGTTTGGCTCAGTTCCAGTCCTGAATATTACTTGCCAATGTCTTTTACATCTAGTCATACAAAGAAAGTGCAAAATCAAGAAGATTCCCTCAGTTTTCAGTAGGTGACCAAGATGGGAAGCAAGAAGAATTTTCCCCAAACTGTTTTCTTACCAAAGACTTCACAATTCCTTTTGAAGCTGTAAAATTGTCTTGATTCTGTAGATTCTGTAGGCTGTTGCTGGGCAGGAGGTGATGGAGAGAGGGTACAAAGGGAAAAGTCGGTGATTTTGGAGGAACTGGGGCCACTTGAAAGTTCTTGAAGAATAGGCTAAAGATCACTTAAATTGTGTGAAGGGATGATTTTGGGAAATGAGGCTTCTTTTGCATGCTGTCTGTGAGTCTTAAGGGAGAGGGAGGTTGTGTGTGAAATCAGTGCTGTCACAACATCCATTGGCACACTCAGAAGAGCAGGTTTTGAAGTCAGCCTCCTTGAGGGCCTACCAGGAGTTAATATTTATTTGAACACTGTGGAAATGGTCACCTGAGACTTGAAATTGATACACAGGAGATGTATTCAAGTCAGTCTAAGTTTATAATCTCAATTAAAAACATATAATTTAGAAATGGATGTAATTTTCCAAGTTATGGCAGAGGAGGGGTGGTTCTGGATGTTGGAAAAGCTCGGGCAAACCCAACAATCTGCAGGATACCTGGAGATCAGCATCTTCATTGCACAGGGCCTTCCTTGGATGGTTGGTTGTCACAGTGATGAGCTTTGGAAATGGCCTCCCTTTCATGGCTGGATCCCAGTTGAACTCTGTCATTATGTAACTGTGTTTTCTAACATTTACATTGTAGAAGTCAGTGTCCTGGATCTCAGTGAGTGTTACTCTCATGTCCTGCTGATAAATGCTCAGAGGAGGAGATGTGGAGCAGCTGCTGCAGCTGGGTGTGCTGCTGCTCTGGCTGTGGCAGCTGCAAGCTCACATCTTCTCTGAGATGCTTCATTTTGCCATCATTGTTACTCAGTGGTGGGCACCACCACCTCCTCCCTTCTCAGCCTGTTTGAGAGCTCTCACCTGTGTGACAATTTCATTTCTCTTTGTGACTGCAGGTCCCTCTCTGCCTCAGCTGCTCAAGTAGAGTTGGAAGGGTTCTCCCATCATCATCTGGTGTTTGCCATCTTTAATGTAACTTTTTATCACCAAGTCCCCAGCTATTCCCTGAACAACAAAGCTGTCTGTGCTGATGTGCTGGGAGTGTGCTGAACTGCTTTTGCTTGCAGAGCCTCTGGGAATTGTCCTGCTGACACAGGCAGAGGAAATGAAAATAGAGGTGAGGAAGCGGGTACAGGAGGAGAAAGCGTAGGGGAGTCTGGAAGTGTTCAGGCTGCCTGCAGGGAAGAGTGCTGCTGGAATGAATGGGGCTGGAAAACACAAACAGCTTTTAAACCTACTCTGGATGCTGATGGAGTCCATAAATAGAGATAGTCAAGCTTTCTGGGCAGTCTGAAGGATGCTTGTCCATCACTCTAGGGCTAGGAAGTTAAAAAACAATATATTACCTCTGTTTTGAAGGGAAATTTTCTGCTACTTGGCATTTTTTTCCCCAGTCCTGTTCTTGTGAAGCCCCTTAGACCCCACATAGCTCAGTGAGCCCTGGGATGCTGCAGAACCAGCCCCAAAAGCCCTCCAGATGAAAAGGGAGGTGCAGACACACTCATAACTCCCTCCTGACTGGATCCAGGGCTGTCTGTCACTGCCAGGAAACACAATTTTCCATGGCTTTTAGGCTGAAATCTTTCTGCCAGTGCTCAAAGGTGAGCATCAAAAGCAGCTCAGTGATGAGAAAAGCCCTGCCTGGCTCTCAGTGCCACAGGGGAACTCTGCAGTGTTGGAAGCTGAGAGGGGTCCCAGGAGTCCAGTGCTGATGGAGCTGCTTCATCAAGGAGTTCATGGGGTAAGTGAAAAATCCTTGTGTTCAGAGGGAGTGAAGACTCACACAGAAATGCAGCCAGTGTTTGGATTCTCAGAGGTGAGAACCTTTTTTTAGCCTACTCTTACCTTCCTCCTTGTTATGGGAGTGAATATCTCAGTTGCAGAGGCAGTTCATGTGTTCCACCTCCCCAGGGTGACTTGAAGCAGGAGTTGGGCACTCAGAAAACTCAGATTGGTTGTTCTGTGCTTAATGAAGTGAGGAGGAGGAGGAGGAGGTGACCACCCCACCCAGGAGCAGTGAGGAGCTCAGTCCTGTTGGGCACTGGAAGTTCAGGGACATGGGAGGGGCAGTGCCTGATGGATTCTGTGTCCCCAGAGGGAGAGGAGTGCAGTCAGCCATGGGTGCAGCATCAGAGGAGAAAGGAAATCCACTGCTTGTCACCTTTTTTATTTTGTTTTCACCTTAAAGAGATGAGTCAGTGATGCCCAGCAAAGCTGGAGATTGGGGGATCTCCCTAACATGGCAGCTCAGGGGGTGCACGAGAGATTTTTGGAGGCAGCAATGCTGAGTGAGGCCTTAAAATTTGCTTTGGTTGTTCTGTTCCTTGAGGGGAAACAAAATCCTTCAGATTTAAATGATTTAACACTCTTCTCAGGTACTTTAGTGGAGCTGTGGTGGCAAATCTTCACAAGGTCCCATGCCCACACAGATCTCAGAGGGAAAGGAAAGGGAACACTCTGCATACCAGTGACAGCTTTCAAGTACTCTTTAAATTAATTTCTTTTAAAAAAGACAAATAAAAGCACTCTTTGAGGGCTTTTAAAAAATGACTTGCAAGCTGAAAATGCAGTTGTGCAATTTATTGGTTGGCTTAGGGATGGAATTGGGGTACTGCAGCCTCAGGGAAAATAGGTGGAGAAGTCACAAGTCCTCAGCAGTGGTGGGCAATGAGAGGACTCCACAAGAGAAAGGGTTTGGCTGCCAAAAATGCAAATTCCTTACTTGAAAATGAAGGAGTAGAGTTGCAAAGGGCTTCAAATATGGTGGCAGAATTAGCATGGACAAAACAACTAATGTTGATTGGAGCATCTGGGGTTTGTGTGTGAGGAAACCAGAGGAGAAGAAGAGAAGGGGAATGAGCACTTTAAAATTACTGCAATTTCTTGCTGCATTACTTTTCACTTTTATGCCTTTATTTTTTCATTAGAGGTGAACTAC